TTAAGTTAAAAATGGCGCAGTCTGCAAGACAGCCTCCATTGGTCCTGACAAAAGCTTGGTAAGGCTTCGTCTGTCCCTCAACTCGATAGGCATCATCGGAGTTGATAATATTTTTATAACATCTCCAGGCTGATGATACAGGGCAACTCACAGGCCTATTCCTATCTACTATATTTTTTTCTTTCGCAATTAGGTTTTTTAGACTACCAATAATAAATTAATAAATAAACATATGTATATGTAAAATTTATTCAATTATACATATTAATTTAGCTATTTATTTATATAGACTAGATCCAAATGCTGAAATTATCCAATAGTCTGAGTCTAAGCTCATAAGAGTATCTTCGGTTGGACTTCGTTGGTAGTTAACGTGCCCAAAAATTTTTTTGTGCGTCATGCAATTGAAAATGTGTTCTTCTCTTAACTAGCGGACAATCGCGAGCCTACGCATGAACTGAGCAAAGGGCCCAGAACATGCAAAACAAAAGTCATACAGGCTACTGCAAGACTAAACATCGTTGTGGTCATCAGCAGAGAGACATGTATTTAATACACAGTTATTAGCTTTTGTAATGTATTCATGGAGAATACGGCCAATTCATATGCATTTAGGCTATAATCATCATTCAACAAATGCTTATTCCAGATTTTTGAAGTGACATTTTTCTGGTACGAGAAGGCCGGATTAGGATATTCAAAGGTACCCATCACCGGAAGAAGAAGATCGATTCGGGTAAAAAGGTGGTGTGCCTTTCCTTGCCAGATGACAAGCGTATACCTAAAGTCCACAATGAATGAAGAAGCCTAAGCGGCCATACCTGAAATTATATAATTATTTTGCTAATTCCTTTTTAAGCTAATCAAGGAACATTTGCCTTCTTCTTCACTGTGTGTGTGTATGCATGCTAGTGTATATGTGAGTAATTCTAGATATGAAACCCCTAGTAATAACTCTGAGTAATTATAGAAGAGCTTAACTGCAGTCAAGGGTCATCTAGGTTCAATAAACCAGGAAAAAAGGCTAATTGGGATTGCTTTATCCTGAAAGAACTTCTGGTTGAACTAGTGAGATTCAAAGGTTAGTTGAGTGAATGTAAATATGGTCAGAAGCATCAATAAGCCGAATAAATAAGTAGCCTCGCTTTTGTTCGTGATTCAGCAAAAGCCAGTTTTACGTGTAATTGAAGAACTGGCAACAATTCATTATTGTTGAACATTGGGATAAATTTGATTTAATTGTCTATTTTTCTATAGGTGATTACTGCCTTGTGCAATTTTGGGAGATAATTAACGACTGGGACTCCATAAGGCTCTAGAAAAATTAAAGCCATCTTCGACTATTGAATTCTTCATTCCTTATAGATACTTTAGCTGAATCTATCAGTCTATATTTTAATGGCTATTTGCTTTATAGCCTCCAAGCTGTTTCAATATGAGGCATTTGATACCTTTCGAACCTAAAGTAGCCCATCCGTTTCTACCTCCCTCATATTTAACATTAATTGGTCATTTAGAATTGGTTTTGACGTACCTCCCTTTTAAGTCGATAAGCTGGTAATGTCCATTTATTAAATGGAAAATAATCCGATCAACGTGACTGAAAAGAGATCATTTATCCTTAGTGACAAGCCGTCTGTAAAACTCACCCTCTGTAATAGAATGGTCCCCAATTGAAATCGCTGCTCAATCTGAATATTACATTGTATTCTCGTTCTGAAAACATTGCCACACAGTACACGGATTAAGACAGACGTACAGACATAAATATATGCATAAGAAAATACACACTTGCAAAACTATGAAAATATACACGCACATATACCATGGCAAATACACACACATAAACATGCAAACAAGCATGCATAAGCACTTAAACACATTAGCACGCACTTATCCATTAAGTTAGGCTTGTATGCAGGCATACAAACATATGAATAATAATGTACACTGAGAAATGCATGTGAAGCTTGTGCCAATTTCACATCGACAATAAGATTGGGAAACTTTAATATAAATGTAGCCATTTTGCGAAAATTTCTACCACATGAGGTGGAAATGTTGGGAATTAGAGGCCACGGTAGTCTAGAGCTGAGAATTTTTTGTGCGAAAATGCCCACAATCGATTGCAATGTGAATATGGTCTCTTTCCTTGGCATTCTCGACTGAAATGAAGACGGTGATGGATGATCATTATGTCAAATACAGGAACATACTCGATAATTCTGCAAATGTTCGCGAATTATTTAATGTATTAATGGATAATTAGCAATTATGAAGCAAGCTTATCGGTAAATAAGCCTTTTATAGACCCCGATAATGTAGTATACGATGCTCAGTGGCCGATAGACAGACCTTCTATAATATTATTTACTTATCAATTAAACATGTATGAAGATAATAGAGTAAAAATATCCTCCTAACGGGTCCACATAATTAGCGAATCAAGGCGAACAACTGATTTCATTAAGAAATAAGAACCTAGAGGGTTATCAAAAATAGCTCATAGAGTTGTCCTTTTGTGTGGTTAAGTTATTGCATAGCGTTGGTATGACATTATTAAGCGGACAGGGAGCTTAGGGGTGAAGTGGGAATGGACGAAATTGGCCAAGGGTTGACGGAAGGTAGTAGAAGCGATGGAAAGGCAGAAAGAGGAAGTAGTCAGCAAATTGGGAGATTAAGTCGGCCAGAGGGATGAAGAGAAGCAGCATAGCTACTGAGCCTTCAGAGAGAAGTGGGCAATAAGAGATCAGAGGCAATAGCCTATCCTGTTCAACTATCTTCACTCGACCCGAAAATACTGGTAAAACTGCACAACATTGGAGTTAAAATTATTTAATTGTGATTGATCTAGGTCTCTTCTTTCCAAATTGTTCGAACCCTCAAAAAATAAGAGATCAAAATGGATGCTAAAAATGCAGGATAGAGTAAATAACGTAATCAGGATAGACTTAGCAAAATAGGGAATAATTCGACAGCAAAATAGCCTACTCACTTTTCGTAGGCTTCACGCTGCATTCTCATAACAGATAGGGCCAACGTCTGCAAGGCCGAGTTCAGGTTCTCCGACTTAAAGACGAATGTAGAATCCTTACTGTTCTCAACGGCGTAGGACATCAAGTCCATTATGAATTCGTCGGCCAGAGTTGGTCGCTTTATGGAGATAGCCTCTTTCATAGCCTAGAAACAAATGTGACAATTATGATTCATAAAAGACAGTGGTCCATAATTCATATTTTCAATGTTTTAAAACTAATAATGAATTGTGATCGAAAGCATTAGTCAGCCTATGCAATTAGAGATGATGTAAGAATTGATAGCGGAAGTTAGCACAATTCACATAATTATATATTCCAATCCAATTTGAGATAAAGATCCGCCATCTTTTTCGTGAATGAAAACCTTTGAAGATCTGAATAGTCTAAATTAAGAAGCCATATAATAAAAGAATTTCAAATTAATTAAATTTTAGTCAGAATTCTTATTGATATTTTATATTCGATGTGAGTAAATGTTGTGTAAGAATTAAAACCTGCTTTGAATGCCAATGGTATTGAAGTTTGGCCGAATCTGCTGCTTATTTCAATAAAAAACCTTTTGGAATCCAATGCGATTGTAAAGAATTCTATTTATTTTATTGTGAGAAATTCAGCTATCACTTTTTAAGTAATCTTAAGTAAACTAGGCTTATTTTAATCCTTACAAAAGATTTAGCGAAATTTTGGAAACTTACTCTCATGGAATACGAGAGTTATATATAAAATTTGACAAATTTATTTTGTTTTCTTTCATTAATTCAAGCCATCTCATCTTTTGAGTTTGATTTCTGAAGGAGATACCAGTAATTGTAGTCCAGCTTATATAGAACGTTATATTTAATTGAAATATTCCTATGATATTCACTTAAACAGGGTATATTATTCAATCACTCGCCAGCAGATCAAGTATGAGTCTCCGAGGCAGAAATACACAATTAAGAACTTTACAAAAAATGAAGACTTCCCACTTATAGGCAAGCAGAAGGTTTGATGTCGAAGAGGCTAGTTCAGGGAGGACAAGCAGTTGATGATTTAACTCACTGGCTTTTTCCAAAGATCCAAAGGCAGAGTGCCCTCCTCACGGTTGCGCTCCTTGATTACCATATCGGTTTGACGGATGATCAATTTTCGCAGGTCAGAAATCATGTATGACTCGAAAGCCTCAATAAGTTTTAGTAGCTGTATTCGACAATTTAATGCAGAGCGGGTATTTTAGAATAACAAAAACATATTATAATTTAGGAATGCAATAATAAATAAGTGAATGATTATTAATACAAATAATTTATTTATAGCTATATTTATGTTTAAATATGCAGTGGAGTAAGTCCGCCCTCATATGAGTGGGCCTAAATGACTAAAGCGAACTACTCAGCGTTAAATAAACGAGGAATAGAAATTTTATTAAAGCATAAAGATTTCGCAGTGAGCCAGAGTCGTTTGAACGACGCGACAATAAATAAATAGAGGCTCCAACGAAACTAATCTAGTCTGTGCACCGTCGAATGATAATATAAGGAATTTGTTATTACGGAGATGGTACAAGGTCATTGTCACTCAGACTAAATTTAAGAGTAAATAGGGCATCGTCGTAGAATAAATAAAACAATAAAGACTTAAATAAAAAAAATATATAATCATAGCAGAACTTATAAAACTTAATGAGGAAAACATATAAAAATGTATTTAATTGAATATCCGCATAATCTATCCTATATGAGCTCAGAAAATGACCATCAACCCG